TAGCTGAAAACTAATTATGTAAATCAGGTAACTGATATGAACAGATTTAAGTGTAAAACTAATAAGGTCTGCACAATGTACCAAGTTTCATTGAAATGTGATTAGAACCCAAAAAATATTAATTATTATGCTAATTAGAGAGTTAATATGAACAGATTTTAACCCAAAATTAATCAGGCTGTCTATTGTCCTAGAGCATTTATGTACCAAGTTTTATTCAAATGTGATGATCAATACTTGAGATATCAGTATTAATTAATTATGTTAATTAAGTGATTAAGAAGCATACATATTTACCAAAAACTAATATGGTGTATAGTCCTAGGTTCATTGAAATGTGATGGGTACTCTTTAAAAGTTTCATTGAAATCTAATGAGTGGTTTGTAGACAGTGCAACAGCCATAGAACAACAAAAAATTAACTAATTATGCAAATTAGGTAATTAATAGGCACAATTATTTATCCCAAAATTAATCAGGTCTCTGCATAATCCTAGAAGATCTATGTAGCAAGTCTCATTGAAATTTGATTAGTACTTGAGATATCAGGTGAAAAGCTAAAAATTAACTAATTATGCTAATAAGGTAATTAATATGCACAAATATTTACCCAAAAACTAATCAGGGGTCTGCACAGTCCTTAAGTAACTATGTACCAAGTTTCATTGAAATGTGATCATTACTACTTGAAATATCAAAAGCTGAAAATTAATTAATTATGCAAATTAGGTAATTAATATGTACTGATATTACACTAAAAACTATCAGGTCTGTGCAGTGACCTATGACATCTATGTACCAAGTTTCATTGAAATGTGATGATTAGTACTTGAGATATCAGAGGAAAAGCCAAACATTGATTAATCATTATGCAAATTAGGTAATTAATATTGCACAGATTTTTACCCAAAACTAATCAAATCTGCGCATTAGTTTGGAACATCTATGTGTGAGGTTCCATCAAAATCTAATGAGTGGTTCTTTAGATATCAGTGGAACAGTCATGGAACAGCTAAAAATCAGCTAATTATCATGCAAATTAGGTAATTAATATGCATGGATTTTTACCAAAGCCTAATCAAATCTGCGCATCGGCCCAGAGCATCTATGCACCAAGTTTCATCAAAAATCAATGTATGGTTCTTGAGATAGCAGTGGAACAGACGGACACACACACACACACACACACACACACACACACACAGACAGACACACTAACTGCAAAGACTCCCTTTTTGTGCTTCGCACATGGGAGTCAAAAAGGAGATAAAAAGCAATATTACATCAATAATTTCAACATCCGAGATAACTCACATTGTAAATCATTTACAGTTGTTGTGTGAATTAGTAATTTTAAAAATAAACACAAAAATCTAATAAAAATAAATAACATGCAGTGGCAACTCAGTATATATTGTCATAATATGGCTGAAAGGCTGAAAACATAAAACTATTTAAGAACTGTTTATCTAAATTTTCACATCACCAATTCTAAATGATTTGGTGTTAACAGAGTCTAAAAACACAAGCCATGCATGGCACAGTCCCTGTCAGTTATCAAATTTAAGATATATAATTTTGTTTATAGTAAAATAGTTGGAACATAAACATGTCAGAGATATGTTGTCAGTTGTATTATGAACAAACCTGATGAGAATTCACACTGAACTAAAAAAAAATTAAAAATTTTAGCTACATGCAATTAAGGAACAGATCAGAGATTCATAGACTAACTTGTACAGAAACTGCCATAAAAGCCAAGAAAAAAAAAAACATGAATCGATAAAATGGAAGAATACATAAATTCTGATTTTGCATGGAGAAGCTTCCACTTCCAAAATTTTGGTTGAAAAAATAGTGGCATTAAAAAAATTGAAAGAAATTACAGGTTCCTCGGAGCTTCATTCTAAATCTAATCTGCATCTTGTAATTAAAACTTACCGTAATTAGCCATAATTTCAAATTTCTTTCCGACACCTAACTAAAACAGTTCACTTGTTACTTCTATCTATTCATACGCAGACTTAGCTTGGGGGAAAAAACAAAATAAAACAAACCTTTGAAACTTGACATGTCGGTAATATTTTGTGCTTTGGCTGCGTATAAATGATGAGACTACCTAAGCTGTTTGATATTAATTAATAGAATAATTAAGGTAACCAATCAGAACTGCAATTGATAATTAACCTGTTCTATTCACAGATTAACTAATCAGAGAGATTGTATATTATCAGCATTCAGAACTAAGACAATTAGTAACTGTTGCCAGGAAAGAAATCTACTCGTGGATGACAATTATTTCAGTAACAGTAGCATTGTGAAAACTTGTAATGCTGCATGTTGAACGTTTCTAATGATAGAAACAACAAATACTGTAAAAGTTGCTTGGAAGTAATTTTCGCTGAAGGAATGATTCAGTGAAAATAAAATCCAGCAAATATACCTTTTTCTATATTTTACATTTAACTTGTCAAAAATCAGTGAAAATAAATTCCATACAAAACACCCAAAACGTCTTTTCAGCGAAAATTAATTCCAGCTAAAATAAAATATTTTACAGTAGTAGAAATGGCCAGTTGTCTGGAGATAGTAGTACTTTAATTTGAATACAATTTATCGATACTGTAAAATACTTCATATTAAGCTGGAATAATTTTTTTTGGAACACCAATTTTTGACGAGTTGAATGTAAAATACAGAAAAATATTTGTTAAGACTTTATTTTCATTGAATCATTCCTTCAGCGAAAATATATTCCAAGTGAAAATAAATTATTTTACAGTAGTCAGTATAGTGACACTTACCATTAATAATGCGCTGTGATTGTGTCATGATTTGTCTAGTAAGAACTGTGTATTTAACTAAAATGAATACAAATAGTATATCAGTATATAAATGTATATCAATCAGAAATTTATTTTGATTTGTTAAATACAATTATTATATGTGAAAATAAAATATTGCACTATGCACTGTAGTATTAGTTCTACAGCTTTTTGTTTCAAAAGGTCATACTGATTTGTTAGAATTTCATTAAGCATGTAAACTTCAAAGTTCAAGGGAGGTCAATGGAAATTTCCATTACTCAAACTGGTTATTTTACCAATTTTTTGGTAATAATAAAACAATTTGTTTAGAGAAATAAAATTGTCATTTTGACTTATTGTATAAAAATAAACACTGCTGCAGGGGTAGAAAATTGCAAAAGGAAGCACTGCAATTTAGCGGCTTCACCAAGTGGGGGAGATCGGGTTCCCCCTAGCAGGGTGTGAAGTTTTTGATAATTCTAGGTTTATAATGGAGTATTCTATGGCTTCATTGGGGCCAAAATTACTATCAGACAAGTAACAGTTGAAGACTGATCCCTGGTCAATCAGAATTTGATGGTTACCAGAAGATCTGCTCCGTAGGATAAGAGGGCACATGACCATGGCAGGAGGGCGCTGCGCCCCTGTTCCCTTGTTTAAAAAAAAAATCCCTGCTGCTGCATCAACAGTTTCCAGGTAAAATTTTCACCGAGTAAATGATGCACACATAGACAAATTAATTAAAGGGCGGTGGTCGTCGTGCCGTGTTCTGTTTGATATGGGACTCATAGCGACGTATACAACACGTATAAAATACATTGTTTATTTACATGAAATTCAAACACGCGATGACCAGATGACCACCGTGCTTTAAATGACATTCAGAACAGGCATTCCAGTAGTTGACCATAAAATAAAATCTGCCCAAGACAGTCACTTGAGGACTAAAAATCCAAATAGTAGTATTATTTATAATTAGTTTGTTCCGATTTTCTATCAATATTGAAAACCTAAACACAATTGTGATGAAAGAAAAAAAAAAAAAAAAAAAAAATGGGAAAAATTAATGAATATTACTGATCAATCAATCTATTTAAATTTTTATCGCTGGAGTGACTGGTAAAAAATTAGGCAATTCAAATGAGGTAACAACATACAAACTTAAAAACAAAGACATTTTGGATACAGATTTCAAGGAGACAAGAAGCCACATGGCCAGAAGTCAAGGTTGTCCTACTTTGTGGACACTTTGGGTTAACCATTTAAAATCATTGGGGGGGGGGGGGTGACGAGAAGAGTGACCATTTCTAGTCCCTCTATGGACTATGAAGGCACTGTCTACCAGTGCCATTTTTTCATAGTGTGTCTGTACATTTATTTTTCTTAAATATCTAACAATTTTGCTGCTGTAACACCTCTCAAGCATTTTTTCTCGTAATGTCTAAGCTTTCAATTGTTTTTCTTCAACAAATTTCACACAGTCTCCTCCCACTTGGTACATGCACCAGTGACCAGGTAACTTCTCTACCTACCTACCTACCTACCTACCTACCTACCGGGTATCCGTGATGATACACTAACACTTATCACCCGAAAGCCAATATAATGAACATTGCAGTACCTACGGACACAATTTTCAGCATCGCAAGAGTGCCATTTTGACCAAAAACACTACAGTGACACACTACGACATTTTCATAACTTTTAACTGTGTCAACAATATTCAGACCGGCGTCACTACCAGCCAGCCGGTAAGGGTCGTCCAGTGATCATTGTCATTTTTGTCCGAGGGAATTTCTTTAGATCGAAATCAGTATTTTTTTTACAGTCAGTTTTACGGACCGGCGTTGCGAAATACACACTTCGCGTTACCATTTTGCAGATAGGTTTGGCACCGCGGAGTTAGTCAAGGGCATGGCCCGGTCTGTACATCTACGCCGTCGTGTAAGCTAACATACGACCCAAAACGATGTACACAATAATGAACATCGCGGCATGAATTTACATCCAGTCAGGATTTGTACACCTGAAGAGTGCAGTTTTGACTCTAAACAATGTCAGATGCACTTTTTCATTACTGTTTGATGCCACAAAGCAGATTTGATAATGATCGACGAAACATACAAATAACCGAATCAGCATAATTCTACCACTACATACAGTGGTAACTGTGATGTACATAAGTAACACTTACCCAAATTAACAGTATTTTTTACTCTCAGAGAAAGCAATTGCGAACAGACACGTTGTGGTACAGCTGAAGGTACGTTTAACAACAGTCGACATAACAATACACTCATAGCAGAAACCAAATAGAAAGTCCTTTTATACCCAGCAGTCGGAATATTCCACACGTTTGACCTTTGACACAAATCCTGATGAATATTTAACAGACATGAACCACTTGTGCAGTGTCGAGCGAATTCATGAGGGCAATGCATGACTGAATCAAAAACGTCATTTTCACAACTATCAAAAGTGGAATAGATAAGATAGTTTCTGGAAGACTTATTATGAAAAAGAGGTAGCTAAATGTCTCATTCTGCGTGTATTATTTTTCATTTTTTTTCGACCAAGTCATCGCTTATAATAGCGCCACCTACGCCCACGTTTAGTAGTTCAATATCAACTTTATTCCACAGTACAGCACAAATACAAAACAAAGAATCAACAAAAATAGCTTAAAAGTGCTGTTGGAGTAAATATATAAATACCCGAATTTTTATTTTAGATTTAGCTATAAAAAGGATTAAAGGACATTTGTTATTAGTTTAAAAATAAAGAAAAATTTATCAATGTCACTGTTTTCAACGTTCGAGTTTTGCTTTTTTCTCTTTTGAATTTTTTTGTAATCTGCAAACTGCAAGTGCAAGTGCTGGCAGATAGTGCATTTTTGCCACTAAATTCATATTCCTGTTTGGGACTACATCTCTCTATTAACTGGCAATTGAATGGCCTTGGTCAAACACAAGTACCTGTAGATCTTTACCAAGGCTCCCCAAAGTCACATTCATTAACAAATGAATCTTGGTTGGTGGAATTGGCACGGTAAGGTAGTTTAAAAAAACATTACAAATATTTATTTGTAGTGTTTTACTTTTTTGCTCATAGTCATATGTATTTTCCTCAAAAATTATTTCCATAACCTTATTTTTTTTACACATATCCTTGTATAGCAATAACAAATCTAAAAACTCAAAAACTTTTCAAAACGTTAGTGAAACTGTTTTGACCAACCTTCAAACCAATGTAACTCTGTTAGTGACTCAAACTTTGTTAATGTCACTATGTAAAGTACTCTTGTTAAATTTCTTGTATGCATGTGAAAATCAGATTAACGAACATTGAGTTACAGTCTCAAAATGGTCATCATGAATTTTGAGTTACAATTTTGTTGCCCCCAAGTCAAGTCAAAAGTTGGCGTCGTCAGGCAAAAAAAGTATAACTTGAAGTAAAGCAGCCCTCTTTTTATTTCTTTTATGGTCCATATTGACAAACAGTCTGCTACTTCAAATAAGTGTTCCACTAAAAAATCAGTCAGCTACTTGGAATGATTTTTTCAAGAGCAGTCTGATTTCAAATAGCGGAAAGTTTTTTAGTTTTTTTTGAGTAGCAGGCTAATTGTACATATGGGCCACCATAGTTCTTAGTACACGTTTCAAAATATTGTAGTACATATAATATTGAATGATGGACCTTGAGACTGACACAGTTCATGTTATATTGAGAAACAATATCAAATCTTTATTAATTTCAGAAAGCGTTTGTTTGAATATACTTGAGTTTGATCATTAGTTTCTACATCACAAACTCTTTGAAGTGGACGTAGAAATGATTTCACATTTCACATCTTTTGTATTGGGGGGGTAGCACAAACATTTAAAACTTAAATACCATTTTAAGATCACTAACCATTATTTTTATTAATTGTTTTTTCCAGAAACACATATTAAAAAAAGCTTCAAAACATTTGACCATGTTTTTATATTTAGCAACTGCAGAGTATGCACATATGGTGTACTTTAAAATGATGTTGATTAGATTATAATAGAATAATCTCTCAGTGTACCAAAAATTCTCAATGTTTTTTGTGAAACTGTATTATGGATACTTAAACACATAGACCAATTCCCTCTCTCTAGGGTTTATGCTTAAACACATTTAACAAATATACTTCACAGATGTACGTACAACTTTACTAAAATAAAACACTAAGCAGACACCAGATTCAATAAAGATTCAATAGTAATGTTTATTACAACTTTTGCATTCAGGCACAACATATAGAGATTAATAATAGATATAACTCATACAACATAACTATTATTACATCACAACTTTATCTGTAACAAAATTTTGGGAAATGTGAAAAAAATTGACCTTTGAACTGAAAGTGAAATGTCAGAGGAAGACACCAAGGCAATTCATCAGAATTTCAATGTCTGCAATTAACAAATGAATTTCAGGGTTTTATCAAAATAATTAATTAATTTTCATTAGATATTTATGCTTTCACCATCAAGTACAATTTTTTTTTTTAAATCTCCAGGACTAAATGGAATGTATTGGGATGGACTGAATCACATCTGAATAGAAGATAGAGGAAAACAAGCGGTGTACAATATTTATACTACCAATCCTAGAGGGTGCTATTGTCTTAATTTTGGAATTTTGTATTTGATATAAAATACACAAGTTTCATAACACCATACTAACATGTTTGTTACTGAAGACTGGGATGAAATTAAACAACACAAAAACTGGGGTTACACAGATGTCAAGTCCAGTTAAAACAACAAATACAAGATAAATACAAGAAGTTCAATTGGCAGGATTTAGTTTGGTAAATAACTTTTCATTATAATATCTAAATAGAATAAAATATATTAATTTCAAAAGGGTTGTAAAAAAAAAACAAGATTAATTTTATCAATATATATAAAATAAACCAATTACCATCACAAAGTTCAGTTTAGTGAGATACATATTAAATTAGCATTAAACCCTACTATGGTGGCCATTTTGAATTTGAAAAGTGCAAACATATATACAATTAAGGAACATAATAATTCATTTTACCTTGCCCCAAGACCAACTTGTTAGACAAAATTCTTTGAAAATATTTATTTCTTTTCCTGACTATTGACTGACATAGACTGTAGTTAGCCCTTGATTTATCTGGGGACAAGGTAATGCAATACATTCAGTCATCTAATAACGGGAAATAGTAGATTGCACAAGGTAAATAAAACAGACCAGATGTAGAACAGAAAAGTATTTTGCACAAAAAGCAGATTACTTTTTTTCGAGATATCAAATAATGGGTCTTTGGATGGAGCTTTTATAACATCATAGCAGCCTGACATATGTGTTATCTGGATCAAAAACTAAAAGAAAGCGTTGGCTACATCGCTAATCAATCACAAAAATCCCTCATAGGTCCGACGAATAGCTGCAAACCATCGTCAGTCATTGCATGATTCATAAACTAACTGTTGAAAACAAAATTCATAAGATATATTGTTTTCAAGATGTCAAGCCAATGGCTGGCTTAGTATTTCTCATTAGTAGGGTCAGTTTCATTTGTAGTTTTGAGTCTTGCATACATATCAGCCTCTTTATCCTTCACACTCTTTTTATTTTTTAAATCTTTTTTATCTTCTTTTGCTTCTTCTTCATCACTTTCCTCACTACTGCTACTGCTGCTACTACTGCTTGACGATGAGGATGATTCACTAGAAAATAAAACAGACAAAAACAATATAACTAATAACAAGTCATGAATGACACTGCCTTCGCTAGTTGTCATTCTAAAGTTGCATGGACATAAATTGGCAAACATGATTTCTATGGCATTTTCAAGTTTATAGCACTCTCCATCCAGGTCAGCATTATTCTCAGCAAGGAAACCAGATAGCACCAAACCAGTACAACAGGTAAAATGACAAGGAAGTATACAAATCAGATCTGCAAATATGTAGAGTCAGTGTTGTGTCTGTTTGGATAAACTAGTTTGTGGCCCTGGATCAGTTTCAATATCTCTAATAAGGACAAGATTACTTCTCATACGACATGATACAAATAAAGTACAAAATCCAGAGATATTATCAAGTTTTATTATCATACATATATAACAAATCGTGTGAAATTTTATGTGCAGAGAAACAC